ACTGATGGTGTAGTTGTTATTGTTGATATTGTGATTCCTGTTGCTTCCTGTGTGATGGTGGTAGTGCTACCACCCGCTGATTGCGTAGTTATTGTTGAAATTGTGGTACCCGTTACTTCCAGCGTTATGGTAGTCGTGCCAGTACCCGCGGATGGCGTAGTTGCTGTTGTGGAAATTGTGGTGACTGTTGCTTCCGTTGTATTGGTTGTAGTGGCAGTACTGAAAGGTTCGGCAGTGGTTGTTGTAGACATTGTGCTACCAGTGACTTCTGGTATGGTGTTTGTATTATCTGGAATGGATGATTGCGCGGTTGCTGTGGAAGTTGTACTTCCGGTTTGGTCAGGTATGACGCTGCTGGTACCATTAGGAAACAGTTGTATCGTTGTGGTAGTGAACTCTGTTGTTTCAGTGGGTATAACTGTAGCGGTCGTTATTACTGTTCTTGATGATGTAGTGGTTTCTATTGATTGGACTATTGTGGTAGTAGAAGCAGTTCCGAGTGATTCTGCAACAGTGGCTGACGCTGTTACCGTTCCTGTTACTTCACTAGTTGTCGTAAAGAAATCAGTTCCTACTGATGCTGAAATAGTAATTGTTGATGTAGTAGTTTCTGTTAGTTCGGTAACTGTGGCAGTAGAACCAGTTGCTAATGACACTGTAATAGTAGTTCTTGATGTAGCGGTTTCAGTTGGTTCTACTGTTGTTATAGTGACACCGGTTGCAACTGCTTCGGTAGTACTCATTGTCGAAGCTGTAGTTTCTGTTTGTTCTACGATTGTGGTAATAGAATCAGTTCGCAGTGAGTCAGGAATAGTGAATGTAGACATTGTACTTCCAGTTAGTTCAACTGCGGTGATAGAAAAATCAGTTCCGAATGATTCTGTGATAATTGTAGTGGATATTGTGGTTGCTGTGGATTCGGCTGCTGTGGTAGTGGAACTAGTGACTAATGTTTCGGAAGTAGCAGTTGTCGATGTTGTAGTTCCGGTTGTCTCCCCCTCTGATAGTGAAGATGTGATTGATGTGAATGATGTTAACGCAGAAACGGTTGCTTCGCTTGTCGTTGTAATACTACTGGTATAGTCTGGGAAAATAGAAAAGAAATTCATAAAAGCGCACTTATTTTGCTAGTTCTAAAGAAATATTCACTAGTTGCGATAGAATTGTAGAAAGCGGTGATGGTGGTGGCTAAAATCAAGATAAATAGATACATTTAAGAGCGGGAAAAGTTATGGATAGTATTGTTGATAAACGTCACGTTTCAGTTACATACTAGTTTCAGCAGACGAAAGTGTTTCGTTGGATGTCGTCAATGATGATGCTATAATGATAAATATGTGAAGACTAATAATAAATACAGTTTTACCTACTGGTTGTTTCTTCTGTGGTCTCTTCTGTAGCTTAATAAAGACAAGTAAAATAATTAAAGAATTATTATCTGCAGAGAAATTATTATGTAATTTCTACATACCATATCCACTGCCATCTGTCATGGCTTCTAGACCAACTAACTGTTTACTTAGATTGACATCATCGAATTTTAAAAAGCTTTGAACGTCACCATCATCGTCGAGCACTGTTTCTGTTGATGGTAGATCGATTTCTGTATCGTAACTTGGATCATTTAGTAATCGTCGACCAAGACGTCCTTGCGAAGGATCGTTGTTCAAGTTTACTGTCTGATTTGGTGTTTTTTGTAATGTTGTCGTTGTGATAATACTAGTAGAGGTGAATGTTGTTCGAAGCTCAGGTTTACATGTTGTCGACGATACATCGAGCAAGTTCCTTGGTGTGGAAATTCGCTTTAGTTCTATGGATCTAGCTGAGGTCGGGGGTAGTGTTGGTTGATTCTTTTTCTTCTGATTATCAGAAATTAATATAAATCCTTCATTTATCGGACTAATGTCAGGGATATTATCAGTGGATTTATAGTCATGTATTTCTGATAAAAGTGTTTGTTTTTCCTTCGGCCATGTACTATTTTTTGTTGTTTGTGTCGTTGTACATTTAATGCATGTGAACACTACAAAAAAAGAAATTTTTGAGCCTTTGTTCCCCATTATCCTTTGATGAAAAAATATTTTACCTGAGATGAAAGTAATTATGATTGCCAAATATGATACTTTTAATCCTATTAATGAATTATACCAAAACATGGTAGTATATTTTGTTTTCTTTTCTATATATATAATCATAAAAGTACATGCGATAATTCCATTCAGATTTGTATATATATATTTATTTATATTCCTATATAGAAATCTAAAATAATCAAATATTTCAAATCGCTTCTTTCACGTTCACACAAATATGATCGAGAATATCAATAGAAAACTATCGTTTCTTTTGAATAGACAAACTTAACATGATCTACAAACTTTATTAATGGCGATTTTCAGTACAGAATTTTAGTGCATCATGATTATTCTGATACATACACACACACGTATATAGTTACTAATAACTTTTTCTTTCGATTTTATATGTTTTGTTCCAGTTAAAACAAAGTAAAAGAAAACAGCAGGCATTGCGAACGAAAAAAGAAGAAAAAGAGAAAATTCTAAGGCTTCTAAATTATCGTGTGCTTTTGCCATTATACTTAACATGCGATGTCAACTATAACCCATGCGAACTGTATTCACTCATCATCCGCACAGTTTGTCAAAGAAATGAAATATTAAATCCGAATGCTCGTTTAAGATTAATAGGCTTTGATGAAGAAAAAAAAAGAATAAAATGTACTTATAAATATATTTTTATAATCAAGACATGTTTTTTGCGATGAAAAACCTTTTATATTTTTGTCTCGAACAAATAGAATTAATTCCTTATACGTATTAACGGTGTACGTGTACATTTTTGCAATCGTCAAAAACCTATAGAGATTGAATCAACGTAGCTTATTATTCGAAATAATTACACATGACAAAAAATAACAAGAGAAATATGCTTCCATTGAAAAAGAAAAAATTACCTGTCAATGATTGATAATTACTAGCGGTAATCTCATATTCATCTCGTTTTTTCTTTCTTTCTTTTAGATGAAAGAAAAAAAACGAAATACTAAATAAAATAAACGGAATATAATGATGTACTCCCTCTCCCTCAATCACTCTCTCTCTCTCTCTCTCTCTCTTTGTCTTCTACCTATAAACTTCTCATGCATTTTCACCTTCATATTTTTTTTGATAATAATCTCACAAATTAAAGATATAATGTTACTGTTCTACATCAAAAATTCTTCTTCCTTTTTGTTGACTTTTATACAGTTTTTTCTTTTTATTTTTCATACTTATTTTGTGCAATCGAAGGAAACTAAAAAATTTCGTAATTCTTTGTTTTTGTTTGCTTACAATGACGGTGTATTATAATATAACACGTTACTAACGAGCGTTCATTCAAATGAAGCCTAATAATGCGTAGGACGATCAAATTATTTGTACAAAAACACTTACTCTTCTAGCGTTTCTTTTTCTTTCTCTTTTATTTTATGACTTGCTGAGCAATTAATAACATAATTTACTATCAAACAAATAGGAAAGAGTAAAAAAAAGGAGCTTAGTTATACATATAGAGAATATGAATATAAAACTCAAGGTTCGATTTAAAACACGGATTTTTTTTCTCGAAATATTATCTAACAAACATGTTAGTGGTAATTAAAACTGGATTATTTATTTTAATAGTGGGTGTTGAAGGATGTTCCTTAGTTTACTTGTGGTTACCTGAGCCAATAGCAACCATTCTGTCAACAATTTATCGCGTTTAAAATTACCATAGAGTATATGACAGAAGTAATAGCAGAATAAGTAGTAAGAGCTCTCACAAAGATTTTTCATTTCGTTTTTCTTTTTCAAAAAACACAAATCCTCACTTATTTATTAATAGACACAATTTCATTATGCATGACGAAAAAAAAAAATATTAAGACTTAGTATTGCCATCATATATGAGCTTCTCTCATATATATGTTTTTATCGATTTCAGCATAAGTATGGATTCACTTTTATTAAATATCGTCTATTTTATCAAACATATTTGACGAATCACATTACTACGAAAATATTGTGCTCGAGTTTTCTTATTAATATTTGTATATGTAAAAAAAAAATAACAAAAAACAAAAAGAAAACGAA